ACCCTACAGAGAAAGGACACACAGCAGAAAGGGCTACTTTCACTGAGCATTCTTCTCACACAGTCCCTCTGCAAAGCCTTTACACAAGGATGGCACATGTGACAGGATTTAGCTCTTAACAGATTCCTTTTCAGGATCAAGAGAAGTTTGAGAAATATTTTACTTTAAAATTACAAAAATATGTTCATTTATGAGAAGCACAGAAATTTGGAAACTATATTCTAACATTAGAGATAAGGCACACAGGACCTTTCACATGGAATGAGTTGTTTAAGTGAGAACAGGTCCTTAGCAGATATATTATTACTGCAGCAGTGCTTGGTGGACTATGTGAAATCCAGCTGGGATGCAGGTCTAGTTACTTCTGTATATCTCCAAACTTCACATTTTTGACTTGCTCTTTGATTTTATATATTGGAATAGGTAGGTATAAAGAAATTCTGAAGATAATCGTTGCCTATATACTAATTGAAATATAATATATATGATTTATATTTACAGTCTCGATAAGGGGTACCAAACTCACCTGCACTCCCCTGACAAGGGTTGTCACATGACAGATCCAGACTGCAAAAAGCCTGCTGGGCTAGATCTGGACCCAGCGGCACGGTGTGGATTAACTTAGGTCATTGGTTCCCAACCTTGGGGTGCAACCCAAATCAGGTTCACGGGGGGGTCCTCAGTAGGGTTGTGAAGGGCCCGCACACACACATACATGCATGCTCAAGCGTGCAGCCTGGGAGTGGTGAGTGGGTTGGCAGGGTGGGGACGCCATTCATAAAAGGGGCAATGGCGGCTCCCCTGCCCCCAGGCCGCTGCTGCACTCCGCTTCCAGTAGGCCCCACGGCGCCAGGTCGGGAGGTCCTGTTGGTAGCCAATTTAGGGTTGCAGCAAAAAAAGGTTGGGAGCCACGGGCTTAGGTGTTGCTCACCCTTTTATCCACCTCCGCACTATCAAGATATGCCCACTGGGTCTCTGTTACTGGGAATTCAGCAGGCCCCACTCTCGCTTGTCCTACCACCAAATTCCTGGCCACTCTGGGAGCCGTGAAGGCAAGTGAAGTGACTCCTTGGGCCACATAAAGCCCATAGGTCATATGCTTAACACCATCTGGTCTAGATCTTCATCTGGTGGTAACTGGCGTAGCTCAGAGGATCTAACTCACATCCTTTTAATTTTTACTTAAAAATGTGGATGTTTTTCATAGAAATACTTCATTAAAATGTTTCATTATGGAACAGTGATCTATTTACAGAACTATACATGCTGAGAATGGGAGGTCCTTGGTAGATTGTTACACTGCTTCAGTTCTTTTTTTATTAGAGCTAAGCAAAAAATAGTTTCCTGCCCTGTGAAATTTTGACATTTCACAAAAACTCCTATTTTGCATCACACTCCTGCTCTTTCTAAGTTAGAAAAGTGTTCATGTATTTAAGATACTAAATAAAGTACTCATTAATATTCAGGTGGACACTGATTGGTCATCTTCAGCCTGAGTGGTGGTAGGAAGCTTAATATAAAAAAAACTGCTTACAGAATTACAAATAAAGAGGAGGAATTTATATAAAGACAATTTTACAATAATTAATAATGGGCAAGCAAAATATATGTAGCAGTAGATTTCCAGATGGAATATAAAGATATTGCATTCTAACAGCATGTATGCACCTATCTTATTTGATTGAAAAGGTCTAAATTGTTACTCACTTGTTAATGAAGTCATTGAATTCAGGTGACCACAGCTCTGGCTGCTGTAATGTTGGAGGTGGATTTCTGTAAAGGTCAGCATTACAATAAGTTAATATGTACATACTTGACAAAAACAATGTGAGAAAGCAATTGAGTAATGAGTTTTAGAAAGGCCACTGAAAAAAGTATTGATTTGCACTGGTAAAAGGAACTTTGGGTAGACAATACAATACACCATTGATCTACTTTACATAATTAACAAAGATAAGTAGCATCAAGAAAGTCGATCAAATATAGTCAAGAATTGCCATCATTTTTCAAGCATGTCAACAAAAACTAACAACTTATGAATCACTATTCGTATAATGGAAAATTACTTCATTTCTTGAAAGAAAGGTATGAAAGAAACGAGAAATGTACTTTTTTAAACAAAAGTTCTTTACAGATGTCTAGCTTAAATTTCCTTTGAAGGATTAGGTTTTGATTGTGTTCACCATTCCATTGAAGACAATATCAAAATACATGTTAATCTATTTGTGATTTAGTAAGACCAAATCTACTTAAAAGATTAAATTCAGATTTGTTGCAAATACATACCACTCTTTTGCTTTCAGTGGGATTTCATCTGGTTACCCTAGGTTTGAATTTGACTCAGTGTTTCGAATGGCTCTTTTTCCTTTGAAGTATGGTGAACTGTTTCCACTTAACAAACGAATGCATAAGGAAATCACTTGAAGACAAGTCTGTTCTGTAATCGAGTGATATTGATCTACCATCATAGCTGTTTTTCCTCAAGTGCTGCTTTATGTGAATTCTAATAGCTCTTTGTTTTTATTTGTGAAATAAAAAAGACTTTGTCTTTAATTCTACATTACTCTCTTAACAACCTAGTACAGTATGTACAGGCTCATTAAATCAAGGAGTTGTTAGTCATCTATTACAGAAACCCACAAAGCTCATTTTGAAAAAATATAAGAATTTGAAAAAAATAAGGGAAGTTTAGGTTAGGTATAAGGAAAACTTCTCAGGACTGGGGTAGTAAAACACTGGAACAGGTTACCCAGAGAGGTTGTGGAATCTTTGGAGGTAGACAAAGCCCTGGCTGGGACAACATAGTTGGGAATGGTCCTGCTTTAAGCAAGGGGCTGGACTGGATTACCTCCTAAGGTCCCTTCCAACTGTAATTTTCTATGATTCTAGTTTCTATGATTCTACATGGAGAGCGTATGATATCATATTAAGAGTAATAATTTTTGCTATAATGAGCTTTGCTTTTCCTTTGTTACTTTAATGTTTTATTTCCTAGATATACATTATTTTATTTTTGAAACTGGAGAGAATTTAGACAACAAGTTCAGTGAACTTTATGGTCTTCTGTAGCTCAAAAGCAAATAGTTAGTTATCTTTGTGCTTGGTGGTATACAACTTTGTAATTTTCAGGATTATAGGCTACTAAGGATAACACAAGAATAACAAATGTGAATCATGGTCTAACCCATAAATCCAGCCTACCTCCAGGCATTAGCTCAGCTGGGACTTTTTAATGACTTTGTCTAGATCTCATATAGTGTTTTTTATCAGTACATCTAAAAGAGATGTATAGATCTCCATTTTACAGTTTGGAAAGCTGAAGAACACAACAAGGATGTGACTTACTAAGCAGGCTACTTAGTATGCCAGTCCCAGAGATGAAATTAGGACTCAAGTCTCCTGGGTCCCTGTCTAGTGCTCTATTTATTAAGTTCCACTGCCTCCTCTTTCACACATCAAAAAGCAAATTAAGCAATCTGTTAACCCAACATTTCTATTCTCTCAGTATCAGAATGGTCTTGAGATTCTAAATCTCTCTATCCCTGAGATTCAGCCCCACATTTCTAAGATGAGGAGTTATTACCATATTGTTCTAGCCTGGCTGTAGGACTCAGATGGGATAAATTTCAATTTTAGTTTCAATTAGCAGAAATAGCACCTATAAGACTTGGCTTGACTGACTCCTACAACCCTTTTGCACACAGCAGCAGAAGTACCCCTTCAGGGGGAGTGCTCACTGCAGTCTGACAGAGGTGGACATAATAGTCACAATTAGCCCTGTGCTCCTGGGGACTGTGTACATGCCTGAGGGACAGCTGTCTCCTAAATACAAATATGGGGCAGAGCACTTCAACACAGCTCCCTCTGCTCAGCAAGCCTTTAATATTCATATTATAAAAAAAGTACCCAAGGAAGAGGTAACAGAAAGAGGAATGGATTAGACCAGTGGTTTTCAACGTTTTTTCATTTGTAGCCCCCTGACACATTTTGAATGGAGGTGTGGACCTCTATAGAAATTTCAAATAGAGGTGCAGACTAGGGCTGTGCAAGGCTTCAGACAGTGCTTCAGATCCGGAGAAGCTTTGGACACTTTGGCGTCCAAAGCAGCATGTCCGGATTGAAGCGTTGGCTTCGTTAGACTTTCTGAAGTGGTTCAGAGCTTCCGAAGAACTTTGGAAAAGCTTTGGAGCCGCTTCGGAGATCTGGCCATAGGGTATAATGGGGAATCAATGAAATATCTATACTTTTGTTGCTTTTTTGTCTGATATGGATGAAACTTGCATGGGTGGTAGCCTCTGCTGTGAGCATGAAGCCTGCCAAGTTTCAAGAACATCGGTGTAGGGGCTCGCGGGGAACTGCACCCTAAATTCTTGAAAGAAAACTCATCTATGTGTTACAACACAGGGGGGGTGAAAACTGCAGGGTTGGTGGCCCTTGGTGATGCCACAACACATGCCAAGTTTCAATAAGATTGGTGCAGAGGTTTGGGGAGAACTGCACCTCAAGCTGCTGACAGGCAAAACTTGTCATGTAGGCGACACTGCGTGTGTTAAGGCGCAGTGGGGTGAACACTGAAGGGGTGGAGGCCACTGCTGAGGCCACAAAGCCTGCCAAGTTTCAAGGAGATAAGTGCAGGGGTTTGAGGGAAACTGCATCTCTAGCTGCTGACAGGCAAAACTCGTGACATGGGTGCTCGTGCAACTGTGTCTGTGGGGGGGGGAGGGAAGGTAACTACTGCAGGCCTGGCTGCTAAGCTACTGTGTTACCAGTTACCAATCAATCATGATTCACTCAGGGACCAGCTCAATATACAGTTGCTAGCTAATGTAACCAGTTAATTAGCAACAATTAACACCTACAAAACAACAGACTAAGGAGAGGAAAGAATCAATACAGACAATCAACTGCCCCAAGACAGAGACAGGCAGTTGCACAAGCACCCATGCCACGAGTTTTGCCTGTCAACAGCTATAGGTGCAGGAACCCAGAACCCCTGCACCGATCTCCTTGACAGCTGGCAGGCTGTGGCCACAGCAGGGGCCACCATCCCTGCAGCGCCTTAACACACACAGGGTCACCCATGTCATGAGTTTTGCTTGTCCGCAGCTTGAGGTGCAGTTCCCCCTAACCCTCTACACTGATCTTCTTGAAACTTGGCAGGCTTTGTGCCCTCACCAGCAGCTACCACCCCTGCAGTTTTCACCCCACTGTGGTGCAACACGTACAAGTGACACGAGTTTTCTTTCAAGAATTTAGGGTGCAGTTCCCCCCGAACCCTTACACCGATCTTCTTGAAACTTGGCAGGCTTCATGCTCTCAGCAGAGGTTACCACCCATGCAAATTTCATCCAAATCAGAGAAGAAAACAACAAAATTAAAGATATTTCATTGATTTCCCATTATACCCTATGGCTGGATCTCCGAGGTGGCTCCAAAGCTTCGGAGCTGCTTCGGCAGGATCACAGTGGGAACCCGGTCAGGAGCTCCCTGGCATCCAAAGCGGCCAGATCCAAAGCCGGATCGAATAGCTGCCTACTTGCACAGGCCTAGTGCAGACCCCCTTGAATTGTAAGTGTGGGTATTCACATACTTTTGATTAATCAGAGTCATCTTTTGCAGACACCTCAGACATAGTCTGTAGACCACCAGGGGTCCGCAGACCATAGGTTGAAAACCACTGGATTAGACTAATGACGTGAGATATAAGTGTATCAAGACATTACCTTGGTATTTTGAAGAGTGCTCTCATGGGATGCAAGTCTGCAAGAGGTGGATCTCCATCTCCTAGCTCTATAGCAGTGATGCCTAGTGACCATGCATCACATCTGGCATCATAGGAGCTATCCAGCTGCTGCTCACATGCAATCACCTGTGAGATCAAAGCAATATAATTTTTTATTCATTTCTGAAAATTCCATTAAAAATTTAAACATAAAAGCACAATAACCTGGACAGCCATGTGTCCAAAAGTTCTCACTGGGACAGACAAGCTGCAAATACTTTGAAAGGCAAACTTTCAGGCTATACTTCAAATGTCCAAGTTTCCTGACAGTGGTTCTCATGCTGCACAGAAACAAATGCTCAAACCAGAGTGACAAATAGCGGTTTTGTCACACCCCAATTCTCAAAGCAGTAAAAATATCTATTTACCTACACACACACACAAACCATACCACACTGGTATCTGAGTGCTTCTATTGCATTCTGCTTACTGGGAGAGCTGCTTGGATGGGTTCGGCATGAGCTTGGCGCACAGTACTTCCTTCTTACCAAACATAACCTCTAAAAGTCTGGGGCAGTTCTTAACAATATGCTCCATCTCCCTTCTACTTAGCACATTGGTTTATCAGCAGAAGAACTTTCCTAGGTGAACATTAAACACCTCCTTGAATATTAATGAGTACTCAGGACTCCATGCTCAACAAAGCATCTTCATATGGACCCAGAACCTGCAGACTCTGCTGGATCTCCTGTGGCATGAGCAGGGTTGGGCACCTCAGGCAGGACATATGCTATGCCAGCCCTGTGTGCTGCTTGCACAGGGATTCCCAGAGCCAGCCTGTGCTGCATGTGGAACATAGGGCCAGACTGGCTGTGTGAGCTGCCTGCAGCATGGGGGGGCTGGCAGGGGGCACATGCTGCATGTGGCACCCACTAGACCAGCCCTTTGCAGTGGTTCCATCATGGCCCAATCTGAACCAGCTCTGGAGCCAGCATCCAGAGCCAGTATGTGGAGCTGATCCAGCTCCTCCAGATTATCTTGCCCCAAGCTCAGGGAAAGCAGCAAAAAGAAAGCAAAAAAGCCAATACAACCAGAGATTGTATTCATGTGCGCTATTTCTCATCTGCACCAAAGCACCCTTTTAAAGGGGAGTTTGAGAACAGCTGCAGTTAAAATTCCTGAAAACACATCTTCTGAAGTTGGTGTGCTTGGGGTGGGTGAGCTGCAGCATGAAGTAACTGTACAGATGTTCCTAGCCTCTCCATCTGTGCAAATATCAGGTGATCTGATGACCCAAATGGTGGAAGCCTCTAGCTTTGGTAGACAATGGCAAATCATCTCCTCTACCAAACAAAAAAGATGAAGGAAATCCAGTGTGTTTGGATTTTGTAAAGTTTCCTTTCCATCCTCTGGGTTATTCCTGCTTTGGGAACGAAGGAGGCATGCAGTTCTTTCTTCAATTAAAGCAGGGAGTTGACTCTCAGTCTTTCCCAAAGGAGCCCCCTGCCAGTTTCACAACTGAGCTAACTTTTCAACAAGATACCCACCATTAGCCACACCTAAATAATGCCAATTTCAAATGGAAACTTTGGCTAAGTCCTGACATTCAAAAAACTTGAGGTGGAAGCGCTCTAAGTATCACGCTTAACTTAAAGTGCTCTAGATTAGGTCGGGACCAAACTGAATAGACATGCGCTGTTTGATGGGCAGAAGGGGGGCTCAGAGTCTGCTTGCAGTGGTTGAGTCCAGCAGCTTGGGGTGCTCTCACATGCCTCCCAGTGCACCCTGTGGGCTCCCCAGGCTGCCAGAGACCCCCGAGCACAGCTGAATGACCAAGCTATCCCTGATTAGCTGCCTGGCATGGGGGAGCAGTGCCCCCCTTGCTGCTCTGTCAGCAACAGTAATCATGGAGAATCAGAGAGAAGCCAGATGGAAGGGACCCATGGACTGGGCTGGGGATGCCTGGGGGCTGGGATCCAGGCAAGGGAGCCTGTGTGCCAAGTGTCAGAGTGGGCAGGCTGAGCACCAGCATTTCTCTGGAGCCGTGATGGCAGCTGGGGGTGCCTGTCCCAACGAGATCTGTCCTGACTGAAGGATGGTGAGGAGAGAGGTGCAGGACAGAATTGTTTGGGGCCAGGCTGGACACATGCACACACAGATCTCTCTCTCCCCCTCACATTCACTCTCTCTCTCTCTCTCTCTCTCTTACCCCTCCCCCTGTCCTTGCTTTATCACACACTCACTCATACACACATGCACACCCCAACCCTCCCCTTCAGCCCCACACCGTGCAGAGCGCCAGCAGCAATGATGGTGACGGCAATGGCACCAGGCCTCTAGTTTCAAATCAATTTAAGTTAATTCACAATTACAGAGGGGTCAGGAACTGCCATCTACTTAGTTACTGGGCTCAGCAAAGTACATCTTTTTCTATAACTATCATAATTTATGAATATGTGTCTATGTGCAAGCACTCTATCACTGTATATATTTATGTTATATATACACGTTTGTCCTATTGGAATTTACAAAAAAACCCTGTTTGTATACTTTAGGTTTACAGTTGAAGGAAGCTTCAAAAAACAAAACATTTTTATTTATTGATAAAATTAAAGTGTTCTACTTTTGTGACTATTTATTCGTGAAGAACTTGTATTAAAAGTGAGCAGTGAAATACATAAATAATAAAATGAATGTCAGTAAGAGTAAAGGAGTAATCTACTTAGTTCTTTTTCAGTGTAAAATCCACTGTACTCAGACAGGATCACTGAGTTCTCAGAAGACGACTTTAAAAATAGCCTTCAAGATCTTAAAATTAGAGGACTGAACTCACAGGATTCTGTCTGCTCAGGAGGAGATGATGCCAGAAAAAGTTACATACAGTGTAGTGTAAGGCTAGAAGGGCGCAATGCCAGTCCTTTCTCCCTTAAAGCATTTCAGTAACCAATCCACGTATACCTTTCTACTGCTGAGTTTTAAAAAATAACTGCAGTTTCAAAAACATTGCCTATCCTATTTAAAAATAGGGTAAGCAGTTTTTACAACTGCTACTGACATTCAATAAAGGGCAGAAAGGGGAAGAAACGGGTAGGCTAACACAAATCAAAAACATTGTAAAAAATAAACACTATGAAATATGCTCTCACCTCTGGAGCCATCCAGAAAGGGGTGCCCACAGAAGTGTTCAGACGGAGACGAGTGCTGGTCAACTGAGCAGACACACCTAAGGGAATAAGGGGAAGCCGTATTGAGTAAGGTGGATTCTTCTGCTTAAGAGCTTCCATCTGGACAATACCCTCGTCATCTTGTTCTGGAAATAGGGCTGCTATGTGTATTGAAGGAAAAATTGTCAAAGCAGGTCTTCCTACTCCTCTGCAAATGGCTTCTGTGAGCAGTTGAACATCCTCAACTTCTAATGACTTCAGGGGAACCAGGACTCAGACCTACATGAGCATTTTATGAGTAATCTGACTCCATATTTTTGAGTGGCTAATTACAGTATTTCTGTACCCTATTTTAAGAGCAAGAAACCACAAGTAGTACTTAGAAAAGCAAAACAATTATTGCTAAAATGTGCTGCCCCTTTCAGTGTGTGTTATTTCTTTTAAATATCCAGCACTGACCAGGGTACATTTTTGTTTTGTACTTCATGTATTTATTCACTTACCCATTTTATCTGATTAAAGGTGTTTACTTCAAGCTATTTGTTGCCCTGCAGCATTACAAAAGAGGCACATGTCCACAGAAACAGCAAAACAGTTATTTATCAAGAAAAAAAAAAATCGACCTTCCTACCCTCAGCCCATTTCTAGTATCTGATGTCATTCAGCCTGTGGGCTAGCTAAGGGTCCCTGGCCTGGCCTGTGGGCCAAAACAAGCAAAAAAAACCTATTGCATTTATCCCCTCCAGGTAACATCCTGTTTGAATCCATCTGAATTTACTGGCTCCAAAAACCTACAGTTTCCTCATAAGAGGAATGATTCACACCAAGTGGAAATAAAACACTACCTAGAACAGATGAACTGGCTTAAAAAAACTCTAGAGAAAAGTATCTGTTTTTTATTCTATTCTATTCTGTTTTTTGTACTTAACTCTGACTCATGGCATGTCTGTACTTGTCCATCATGCAAAATCACTTTACATAAGTACTAAAAATTAGACTACATTAAAGTTCCAATTTGTTACATCAGCCTATTCTTTAGAGATAAACAAATTCAAAATCATTGCATTTGGTAGTGGCCTCTTTATATTTTATGCTGAGCACAAAACACTGAATCTACTATCCCCCCATGATTGAAAAGGCCCTACTGATACCAGAACCACCAGTGACTGTTTGCATAGCAGGGAGCAGAATAATATAAGCCATTGCAGCCTGTCTCCCCTTTGCAGATAATGGAGCTCTGAAACAGCAGCAGTGCAATCCTTGCTATAACAGGAGGAAGTTTTGGGACTAGGTTTTGCCCAAGGTACCATGACTACACACAGCTTTCAGGAAAACACACTGAGGAGTAAGTAGCAACTATGCATGCTACTGCAGCCATTGTAGTGTTCATACAGTGATTTGTCTGCCTTGGTACTGGAGGGAGAGGAGCTTTCTCTAACCAGCAGGAACTCCAGCACTAAGCTCATTTACTCAAATTTGGCACAGGAGCCCAGACTTGGATCTGCTGGCAAAGAGAGATGCAGAAAGTAGGATTTTATTATTACAGCATCAGAGTTTATAAATAATTGTAACTTTCTGCACAGATAAGGAGCAAACGCAAAAGAAATGTCAATTTGCAAAGACTTTTCAAAGTATTTATAGATTTGTTTTCACCAAATTGCAATTATTAAAAGAACTGAAGGGATTTCTTTTCCTGCTCTTTATTTTTAACGTCAAGAAAAAATCTGATTTGATTTGAATTGTTCATCACTAGTTTCCTTTTTCTTTTTTTATTCTTTTGCTTTTGGCAGTAAACTGGCATTTTAGATTATGGAGTATAAGTCTTATGACAAATGATATTTCCTTGGGCTTTTTCTGCATGGAGGGGAAGATGATGTCATGCCACACTTAGCAACATTTCTTCCAGCACTTCGGCAACTAATCAAGCATAAAGCCAGCCAGCTTTTTTTAATGGTATATTTTCTAACATTTTACTCTCTCTTCCCCCCCTTTACTATAGCTTTAGTGAAAATAAAATCAAGTATTTTTCTTAGAAAGTCTAAAAAACACTGCAAAGAAGTGGTCCATTAAATCTGAAAGGCCAAATTTTATGAAGATGAACAACTTGATAAGTAAGAGCATTACTAGAGCAAATGCACTGACACTCTTTTACAGACTCACAAATCCAAAAAGGCACAGGCAGAGACACAGGCACATGACACTGGTGTAGTATGCCTTTATAGATATGTATAAAAAAGGAGACACATGAGCTGCAGTCCTACATTAGAGTCACTTATCAGGAGTAAAACCTCACCAGTATAAAGAGCAATAGTTAGCCGTGTTAGTATGAAGTCACGTAGAAACCTGGGTAAAGATGTACCTTCTAGGTGAGCATCTGATGAAGTGAACTCTTGCTCATGAAAGCTTATGCATCCAATTTTTAAGGTGCATCTCTACCCTGCTTTACACCAGTATACAATAAATTACTGGCGTAGCCTATTCTTCAGTGGCTGTTTTCTGGAGGCAAACATGTTATTACCTACTCCTCTTCCCCAAGTACTGTAGGGGTCAGGGACCATTTAGAGTGGAAGGGTGGATCCTTGTGACCCAGTTGCCACCTCAGGTCACACTCCCCTTAGGTAGGGGAGGAGGGAAGGAGAGAGGAAGAGGTCTCACCTCTGGTAAACAATAGTTTGCCATATGGAAGGAGGAAGGAAGAAAGCGAGAGAGAATAAGCAGCATGTGCCATAGAGGACAGAGAGCTTAGCTCGAGTGAGCAGTGCCTGCCATGGGGGACAGGAGGAGAGGAGATGGAGAGCTCTGGTAAGCAGCATCAGTCAGCCACTAAGGCAGGGAGGTAGCTTCCTTGCAAATGATTGTCTCAACTCCTTTAAAACTTTCTCCCAGGTGTCTTATCTTTTCCACTGTCCCATCTCCTGTGAGTTCCCTCTTTACAGCTTCATTTGATTTAACTTTAGCCATTTAGGCAGGATAATTTTGCACAGATAAACTGAGGAGTATGTGATGTGAATAGAAAAGAAATATACCTCACACATTCTTTATAATAGCCATAGACAACAAAGGAAGAACAAAGTTAAAATGAGCTATTTCTGATTAATCTCCTAAGTACAAGTTGCAACACTCAGGCAGCATCACCACTGTTAAGAGTTTTTAAATATCCTGGAGAGGTGAAAGGAGAACAAAAGAGTTGACTTGTAGAGGCCTGCAGGGAGTTCCTCAAGCAGAAGGGGTGGCAAGGGTGAAAACATGAGGCTGTTTAGTGGGAAACTTTAATAATGGATCCATAATGACTGCAGATCTGACAGAATGGAGACAGTGATGATGGCATGAGGAGGAGTCAGGTGGGGGTCAAGTCATAAAAAATAGGTAGACTGGGCTTGATGTGATGGAACAGAGTAACTACTGGTAGAGGAGTAAGAGGTAATGCAGTTGAAATGATGAGCTAAAGTGAAGGTCTTTGAAACATTTCAACTTTTACTGTTTAAAATGTTTTAAAAAATCTAAAACACATTCACAGCACAGTCTTCCAGATCTGATTATGCAGGAGGGAAGGGATAATGAAGACAGCAGGAGCATAAAAGATGTACAAATGGCATGCACTTTGTTATTTTTAAATGCCATTTAAAAGCACCTACTCTGAATAGCTTGCAATGGTTCAGCTATCTGACAGCATATCCAGGATGCAGGGCACATACACTGCAAATCAACATCAGAGCCAGAATTAGAGTCAAGGAGTCCCAGAGTTCCAACCCTGTGCAGAGCATAACGACCAGGGGTTCTTCACCAAACCACAGTGGGCAAAACCAGCTCAAAAACCAGAGGTAGGAAAGGATTTAGATCTTTTTAAAGAGAATCTCATTACATGAAGAGGAACAGGCATGAGGAACAAACTACCAGAGGCAGCATTGACAGTGGAGTATTGGCAAAGCAGTGCTGCACAAACTCTTCCAGGAGAAATACATAGTAGAGCAGAAATCCTAAACAGAATACAGGAGTTGCCAAAAGTCAGCTGAATGGCTCCTTACCACTTCACAGCAAGAGGTTAGTATTTAAGAATTAGATGAGATTAGGAATTACATAGAAGAAACACTGGAAATACTATGGAAACTATAACAAAAATAAAAAAAATAAAGAAAATGTAAAGCATGGAAAATGGGAAATAAATGGCAATGAATACTAGTTAAAAAGAGGTCAGCAATGGATAAGAGAAGTTAAAGGAATCAATGAAATATCTGTGGCCAACAGGAGCAACCAAAAATCCTAGGTCATATATAAGACCATTGTTAGATGGAGATGGTAACACCATAAGTAGCAGTGTAGAAACGGTATCCATTCCCCTCTGATGGTGCTGGAATAGAAATTTCACTATTTGAAATAAGGAAGCATATCAGGCAGCATCTGCTAAACTTAACATTTTCAGATCAACAAGCCTAGTAACTTATAACTGAGAGTCTTAGAGGAACTAGATGAGGAGCTCTCAGAATCACTAACATTATGTTTGAACAAATCTTAGGAAACTGGGTACATTTTCAAGGATGGGATGGCTACTAATGCAACTGGTATTTAAAAAGGGTAAAAGGAATGACACAGTAGACCAGTTAGCCAGATATTGATCCCAGATAAAATACTAGAGGTAATTCAGGACTGTATCAACAAGGACTTAGAGCTTAAACATGGAATTAATGCTAGTCAGCATAGTTTCAGGGAAGGAAGTGCTTATCACAGAAAACCCATCGTCTTCTTTTGACAAGATTTCAGGTCTAATGATAAAGGCAACTGTGGTGATGTGCTATACTTCCATTTCTTTGAGGAATTTGGCTTAGTTCCCAAATGATATTCTGATTACAAAAACTTGCATTTTGTGGAATTAACAGAGCTCAAATTAGATGGATTTTAAAAAATGGCTTAATAAGAGATCCTAAAAAGCAGCTTTTAATGAAGAACAATCAGTGAGGAATACCACTTCCAACAGGAAGATTTTTGGTAAAGATTGTAGATGGCACAGGGCTTGGTGGGGTGGTAATTCATCTTCATACTATTGTTATATAGGTACCTGTTA